GGGCTGTGATGCTGGGCCCTGCCGGAGCCAGCCCTGCCCGAGCGGAGGGAGCGCCTGCCCCCCTGGTCACCCCCAGGAGCCCTCCTGAGTTGTGGAGAGGGCCCGGAAAAGGGAATAAACACAACCAAGCAGGGCGGCTCCGGGGCCCTGGCACTCGCTGGAAGCGTTTTGTAGACCTCTGTGTTTCCCGTTAGCCAACAGATGCCACCACCACCCCAGGCACGCAGAACAGGGGTTGGCACCAAACAACGTGTGTTATTGCTGCAGTTACTTAGTGTAGTGTGCAGAGCTGGGGTTTAGGAAAGGCTGCTTTAACCAGCCAACTGAAAGCTGGGTATGGCAGGGGCATGCGGCACAAGCCGTATGTAAAATATTTCCCTTGAAAAAACAAATCAAGGCGGGAGAAGGCATTGATTTAATTTGGCATGGCTGTGAGTTTACCTTGGGCAGCGACCTAGGAAAACATGCCAGTAAGAAAAGAATGGAAGGCAAATGCCCTTCTTGGTTTTTATTGTCCCTGAGTGTTGCTAATGGGGTACGAGCACCGAGCATCCTCCGAGGGAAATGAAAGACCATCCCATATGCCAGCCTGGCCTGCCCTCAGCCCAGCCTTACCCTCGGCTGGCTGCAGACTGTGCGCAGGCAGGTCAGGTTACCTTTTTTGATAGATCCTGCCGTGGCAGGAGGCAGGATCCTGACTGAACAACTGCTCTGCTATTAGCCTTATTTGCACCATTCCTTACACTATGCAAAGATAGACCGTCAGTGAAGATTTTTTTTTCTTTTGATTTTTTTTCCTGGAAAATCTTAAGCCTACCTAGGGATTTTAATTACCATGGAAATCTTATTTGAGTTAGAAGTGCCTCTTCTTTCTGTCTTCACATGCCTACATATGGCTTTCGCTATATTACCTTGTGTGGTAGTAAATCTTACTCCATTCACACCTCATTTATATCATGAGCTCTTCTGCTGTAAACTTGGGGTCTGATAACAAACTAATTCCTAATAAAATAAGCCATTTGTCATTTGCGGATTGCACTGCTCTAAAATCTACACTTTCTTCCTCAGAACTGCCCTGAATCATGTTTGCTTCAACACACCCCTGGGAAGGAGTGGAAAACCCACTCCCTGAGCCAGGCATGTTGGACAAACTTGCTCCTTCCTGATGGATTTTACAACTGCAAACAAGGCTTTAAAACAAAACAAAACAAAACTCACCAGCAACACCAACAGCCCTGCTCTGAACATGTGGGATGCTTCCCTGGATCCCTGCTCATTTCCAGGAGTGAAACTCAGACACACCAGCTCAGTGCTGTCCTGAAGTGTGTGGAGGCTTTTTTTTTCTCTCTCTCCTTCTTTTCTTTTCCCTCCTTCCTTGTGTTGATTTGTGGGGCCAGAATGACTTTGATTTCAGCAAGTTTGCTGTTTATTCACGTCACAAGTTTGACAGCTTTACACCAAATCAGATTGCTGGGTTTCAGGAGAGCTCTGAGGCGTCACTGGAAGCTCCTTTAGATTAAACTCGCCTGCCCGGTCTCCCCCCTCTCCCCCTCCTTCAGAGCCATTTAAACCTCGCTGGGGCTTTAACAGAAACGTGCTCCTAAGACCTGCATTTCATTCTGCCACTAACATGGTAAGTGCTATTTGCATTTCTCCCGACCTGGAGGCAGAAAAGGAGAAGCTGATCTCTTTGCCCTGAGGGCGTGCAGCAGGTTCTGTGCCCTCTTTAAGATGGGAGAGGAAGAGGGTTCCTCTCTACCTGCAAAAGCAGGCTGCGCTGCTCTGCCTTCCCATGGATGAGTAGATTCCCTTCTCGAGGCTCCAGGCTGCGCCGTTGCCTTGCAGAGATTCAGGACTGCTGCAGATCGTGCTTATTTGGAGAAGGGAAAGGGATGGCTCCAGAGACAACCCCAGGCTTTGCTACTTTGCAAGCTGGAACTCCTGCAAAACTGCAGAGGTAGAAGGGACAGCAAGCAGCCTGGATGTGACTCTGCTGGCTTTGTGCAGCCTTAGAGCTGAACCAAGCCCTCAGCATGGAGGGAATGGGCTGGCCAAGGACAGCCTGGGGGTCCTCTCCTCACTTTGAACACACCAAGGACCGAAGTGTTTTCTCAGGGACTTCGGGAGACTAAGCCACCTTCGTGGCATACCTCTACTTGGAGCCCCTCTGCCGCATGCACCGGGCTGCAGTGGCGAAGTCCCTGCCCGGTGCTCAGAGGAGGCGGCAGCGGGGAGCGGCGCGGCGCGGAGCG